GGTAGTCAATGGAAGCATCCATTCGTATTCGAGTTATTTAAAATTAAATTAATTATATTAAATAAAAACTACTGATATGTATTTTATCGCTAAAAACAATGAGAATAGTAGGACATTAAAACAGAGTTTATTAATCTATTAAGTACCTACTCAAAATGTTTGCCAACATACAATTTTTTTTAAACGCCACACATTAGGCTAGAGATCGCTTCAAGCGCGCGGAAATTCAAAATAAGTAAGTGTTATATTTCGACCAAATTTAGGGAATTTTGAATTCTTTAATATGTGTAGATAATGTATGAACATTGTATGAACATTGTTCATACAATACTAAGGTTTTAAAAAATATCACGCATTCTCACACTCTGTTTGAAGTGTTTTTAATAGCTTACTGTTCTGTCTTTTAAATAAATATAAAATCAAGTGCTAGTAGGCGCCACAAATATTTTTTGTTTTAAGCATTTTAATAGATAGTTGGTTTTAAATTACTTAGTAGACTATGCATTTACAAAAATAAATGTATCTCGGAAAAAACTTAATTTAATTTTTTTTTTAAATATAGAAAAATGCTGAAAGCCCAGAAGTAATATTATTGTATAAAATTCTGTCATACGTAACAATTAGGTTTTATTTTATAAATGTTTAGTTATATTTTTGTAATTTACTAATTAAGATTTTGCCATCACACAAATATACTTCTGTTGTTAAAGTATTATATTGTGGATTGGTTTTTCTATTGGTAGTAAAAAGTAATTTTTATTTAAATTTCATCAATACGAAAAAAAATTAACAATAACTAAGAATTACTTAACCAAAAAATTGCCTCTCTAGCCCACTGTGCGCCGTCTAAAATTTTGAGGTATTTTGGGATAATCTTGTAGAGACCTCGGCTCCTTTGCGTAAATTGTTTTAATAAAAAAACCGTTTTTATTAGACTTTTAAATAAAATTATTATTAATAACTTAAAATCATAAGTACAGGGTGATCCCCTATAATGTCGCCCCCTTTTAACTTTTTTATTTTAAGTGTCCCAAAAAATTTAAAAGTGTGGTTATGTAGGTACTAAAAAATACTTTTTTCCTACGTATTAAAAAAAATGAAAAATTGATCAATATATAGGCAAACACAAAAAGTTTATTTTTTTTTCAATGGATCACCCTATATATGAATTTATTTTTTGATTCCTTGTAAAATTCTGAGCATAATTCATATAACAAACCATATCCTAAATTCAACTGTTTCTGAAATTTTCGCATTCGAAATGTTATCATTAAATGTTTTTAAACTGTTAGAATCAAGAAGCCTAGGCTCAGTATACCAAAATTTTTATTGAAAATAAATTATTATAGTGACATTAGGTCAATATGTCTTGTTAAATAAGTAAAAATGGCCTACTCAGACAGAGAAAGACAAACTATTTATCTTAAAAATTATTTTAAAAATAATTTAAGTATTTCAAAAACGGTTGAATTTAGGTAGGTATCGGGTATGTTATATGAAATATGCTTAGAATTGAAAAATAAATACATATATAGGGTGATCCATTGAAAAAAAATTGTTTTTCCCTGTATACTGATCAATTTTCCAATTTTCTTTATACGTAGAAAAAAAGTATTTTTTAGTACCTACATAACCACACATTGAAATTTTTTCGGACACTTAAAATTAAAAAGTTAAAGGGGGGCGACATTATAGGGGATCACCCTGTACATATATGTACAATGTACATTGTACATGTATCTATAAATAAATATTTAGGTATATGGACTATCTCAAGTCTATAATATATACCTAATTTGTGTACTCATTGGTTACATACAAAGAATACTAATTATCTAATTACAAGCGTTTTAAAATTACTACTTGTTTGTAAAATCCGCAGGTGGTCGTTACCGATAACCGACATAGAACATATAATAAAAACCTTAGTTTTAGCAACAGCTCGATATTTCTTTTATTCTTAACTGCTGGCAATATTTTAGCTAACAAAGTGCGTTATGACAATCATTTACAGCTAACACAATGGAAAGAAAATGATTATGAAGTTCAATTTTGGACTGATGTTAAAGGAACAAATCATAGTGTGAATATTTTAGTTCCTTCCGAAAAAATTCAAAAACTCGAGGATATTGCAAAAAGGTTTGAAATTGATTTAAGTCTGTTAAATCCAAATATACAAGAAGTTATAGATGCCAAAAATATTAACAAGATGAGGGCTCATCAAATTAGCTGGACTTCTTATAACAGCTTTAAAACTGTAACGAAAATTAATAGTACTAGTACAGGTCTAACTCAAATATATTATGTTTATTTTTTAAGATAAATAGCTGGATGGATTCTTTGGTATTTCAATATCCTAACATGATTTCCTAAATAGTTGTTGATAGTACTTATGAAGGAAGAAATATCGATGGAGTAAAATTATCTTTTAATTCAAATAACACCAATGTGTTTTGTTTTAGATATGACTAGTGGAATAAGTACAGATTGGGTAAAGGGGGAATTTAAAGTACCGGTTACATACACATATGAGCTTCGTGATACTGGAAAGTATGGCTTTCTTCTACCAGCTGATCAAATAATTCCTACTGCCAAGGAAACTCTTCACTGGTTACAATATTTGAAGAATATGATGAGCAACAATTAACTAAAGCCTTAAACTAAAATAGTGCTATTGTTTTTAGATTATAATGTGGATATTTTTAAATGTTTCATTTGTGTACAAATATATACAATTATATCTTAGAATGTGATGATAACACATAAACAAGTTTTTTTTGACCCACTGATTTTTTTTCTACAAGCAGAATTACTCCATCACCCCACAGTTTTTACTCTAGTCTAACAACCCGTGGAAATTTACTAAATGAGTTACTTACTTAGTGGAGGTTCGACAATTTAGATGTTTTTTTTTCAAACAGTTTGTGACTTGCTTTATTATATTGCTATTAGAATCGCTCCCTTTTTTAAACCCTGGAAATAAAGAACCCTTGGAAATCTGTATTAATGTTCTGAAATTTAGTATTTTGACAACATAACATTTTTCCCAATCAGTTTTTCCCCGCTGAATTCAGATTTTTTTCGACACGATTGAATTTTCAAAACAGCTCATTTAATTAATTTTTATGGGTTTTGACTCTTGAGAAAAACTGTGAAGCAGTTCTTCTTTTGAAATCGAATTTGACGGGTCAAAAACCATATAGCAAGGCTGCTCTGGTTTGTGGTAACTTCTTCTGCTTACATTCAGGGCCAAAGCTTAATCCATAAGTTTGAAACTCTAAAACGATTACACACGGTGTGCCTAAACGAAGTTTAAGTCACATAAAAATGCAAAATATTGTGCAATCCACTGGGTTCGTTTTTCACCATTCATTGGCTTCAGGGTTCTCATTATTCTCCGGTCCTGATTACATTCCTATTTAACGTATTAAAAAGTAAATATGATTAATATATATATTAATCATATATACAGGGTGTTTCATAATATATGCGCAGGACTTCAGGATGTGATAGCTCATCCAAAAAGATGAAAAAAGTCGCTATTAAGTTACGCTCTAAAATGCACAATTTTCGAGATACAGGGTGTTGAAATTTTAGAAAAAAATTCGTTTTTTTCGAATATCTCCGGAACCGTTTATCGTACAAAAAACAGCTTTTGTAAGCATTTTCTACTCAAAATAAGCTATGTTTTGTGCTAGAAAAAAAATTTTTTTTCCTCATAATTGATGGAGATTTTGAAGGGGTAGCGGGTGTTTTTCTCCTTAACTTCTACGCCCCTGAAAAAAGTACGGTTTTGAGGCCCATTCGAACCGACAATGTTTTCTACACAAAAAAGGTACTCCTGGTCATAAGCTCTAAAGTTGACCGTTTTCGAGAAAAATCAACTTTTATGTTTAAAAACATGGTCAATTTAAAAAAAATATATTTTTGTTTTACTAATTAAACAAAAATTATTTTAACGTTAGGACAAGTAACAAAACCAAACCATAATTGCAAAATAAAAAATGATTTAAAAGTTGTCTTTGCTTAATTCTCCAAACCGTAAAGGTAACACATTTCGCACATTTCAGCATTTGAGTAAAAAATCATTTTTTATTTTTTTTTTAATTTTGCAATTATCGTTTGGTTTTGTTACTTTTTCTAACGTTAAAATAAATTTTGTTTAATTAGTAATAAAATTTTTTTTTTAAAAAATTGACCATGTTTTTAAACATAAAAGTTTATTTTTCTCGAAAACGGTCAACTTTAGAGCTTATGACCAAGAGTACTTTTTTTCTGTAGAAAACATTGGCGGTTCGAATGGGCCTCTCAAAACCGTACTTTTTTCAGGGGCGTTGAAGTTGAGGAGAAAAACACCCGCTACCCCTTCAAAATCTCCACCAATTATGAGTAAAAAAAATTTTTTTCTGGCACAAAACATAGCTTATTATGAGTAGAAAATGCTTACAAAAGCTGTTTTTTGTACGATAAACGGTTCCAGAGATAATCTAAAAAAACGATTTTTTTTCTAAAATTTCAACACCCTGTATCTCGAAAATTGTGCATTTTAGAGGGTAAGTTAATAGCGACATTTTTCATCTTTTTGGATGAGCTATCACATCCTGAAGTCCTGCGCATATATTATGAAACACCCTGTATATATCCCATTTACATTTACAAAAAATTGCGTGACCCCGTATTTCAGTAGGTAATAAAATTATATATTTTTGCATTTAAACATTATTATGACATTGTATCAGCTGAATTTTTATTTAAATTAAAAATATTAATACCTACCTAATATTTTGCGTTTATTGCATCAGATTTAAATTATAATAAAAATAATAATAAAAGACAGTAGGTAATGATAAAACAAAAAACCTTTTAAGATAATAACAAAACATATTCTATCTTATGACACAATTATTCCATTTATTGTTTAAATTTTTAAGATATTTATCTTCTAATTATGATATAAAACTGACTAAAGTAAGTAAATTAGGTTAGTATTTATTCGAATTCCACAGGTGACTTGGTTAACGATAACGAATTAGTTAAATAAACTTTTATTTATTTTATTTTAGTCATGAAGACGTCGATAGTGGTTTTAATTTTTGCTATTGGCGGTATTTTGGCCCACAAAGTTCGTTATGATAATCATAAACTTTACAGGTTGAATCCAAAAACAAATGAAGCTTTGGAGCAGCTCAAACAATTAGAAGAAAACGATCTTGAAATTAAATTTTGGAATGATTTGAGAGGAAAAAATCATTTTGTTGATATTTTGGTTCCTTCGGAGAAAATTGAAGAATTCGAAAAGTTCGTAAGAGGATTTGAAATTGATTTAAAATTAATTAATACAAACATACAAGAAGTAATAGATGCTGAAAAAACTAATAAAAGAAGCACTGGAATGAGCTGGACTGCATATAATAGTTTAGAAACGGTAAAAACATTTACTTAAATAATCTTTAATCGGTATAAGAATGTTAAATACCTTTATTTTTAGATAGTTGATTGGATGGACTCTTTGGCCACTGAATATCCGGATAAAGTCACAAAAATAACAGTTGGTAAAACTTATGAAGGAAGGGATATAAATGGAGTAAAATTGTCATTTAACTCAAATAATACTAACAATGCTGTATTTATAGAAGCCAACATACACGCTAGAGAATGGTGAGTAAATATTTTTACATATATTAACGTGTTATTAAATTAATAGTATATTGTTCAACGACTGAGAAAGTTGGCCATTTCTCAAGAGTGCAACCGTATACGTTAAAGAAGCATTGCTAGTGGCAGGGCCGTTCCTGGCGAGCGTGCAGTGCTTGCACGCACGCACACGCAACATATTGGGGGCGCAAAATCAAAGAGTCAATCAGTACTTTGTAACGATAAACTTTCTTGCAAATAAACATACATAGGATATAAGTTGCGGCATTTCTCTGCGACGTCCGCATTAAAGCCCTATGACGGACTTTTTTCGGCCGCTATAAAGCGCCTTTTGCCGCTTTGATATGAGTATCAAAATAAAAGGAGAGAAATTTTCATAATATTTTTTTCTACAACCGAGCGAAAAGTACAAATTTGCGCTTTCAAAATAAAGCGCAAAGTTGCACTTTTCCAAGGAGCAAGCGTTTCTTTACTTTGTCGCTCGCTTAGTTATCATGGATACGTCTAGTATATATACTAGACACTGAGACTTTTGACACAAAAGTCAAATTTGATAATAATTGATTGATAATAATTATTAATTATTACCAAACATTAATAAAAACACCGGTTGTAGAAAAAATTCTGTGTGTAATTCGAGCGCAAAGTTACATTGTCGCTCTCGCTCAGAGGACAATATATTATAACTGTTAAACTTTGCTACCGTCAACTGCAACTATTAAACAAAAACTATAGCTATGTGTATTAAGAGCGCAAAGTTATAATAACTTTGTCTACACAGTGCACAGACTTGGTAACGTCTTGAGACCGTTTAACCCCATCACGTCAGGTTTTCAAGATAACCTGGAATAAACTATTAGTTAAAAATATCGAGAAAAAATCCAAGGTTGAGTTTTTACCGGTTTTCCAATAAAATACACATTTTATTAATGATTTACGTAAAAATTATAAAACAAATAAGTCATCTAAATGTAAACATTATGAATTATTAAAAGCGTTGATTAAGAAAGTCTTCACTTAGGTAAAATACCAAAAACGGGTATTATATAAAATATTATGTTGCCATAAATTTGTAGATATACAGGGTGTTTCTTTTAACTTGAGACAGCTCAATATCTCGAGAAATACGCATTTCACGGAAAAATGTCTTAAATAAAAGGTTAATGTGACTAAAGGGGACATTATTTGGTGCTACCGCTAGCCACCCCCTACCCCTCCTTAAGCGTGAAACGGGGGGTAACTTTAAAAAGTCAAATGGAATGACCCGATTTTTTTCATAGAGTTTGGTAGTACATAAAAAATAAATAACTTTTATTTAAAACTTTTTTCAATTTATCAACAGATGGCGCTGTAATTCAAAATTTAAGAAAAATGAGTTTTCTTGTAAAATGTATTATTTGAAACGTTTGAAAAAAAAATTAACATTAACAACAATAGTCGGCTATGAAAACAATTTATAACAAATGTTCGAAATGTCGTCATTCCATTTCAACACATTTTTGAATGCGGGTAATGAATTCTGGCACACAACGCGCCAACATATCGGGCGGTATCGCCGCACAGGCGTTCCTGATCCGCTCCACCATGTCCTCCCAAGTTGTAGGAATTGCAGCGTAAACTTTTTCTTTCAAGTAACCCCACTGGAAGAAGTCTGGTGGCGTAATATCAGGTGATCGAGCAGGCCAAATTACTGGACCACGTCTACCGATCCACCGCGGTGCACCGGCCATTGAACTCCCGATCCAACACCTCTCGAGCAATTGTCGAATAATGTGCAGGACAACCATCTTGCTGGTACCACATGTTTTGGAGCCGTGCTAGTGGTACATCCTCCAAAAGGTCCGTCAGATCGTTTTCTAGAAAATTCCGGTACTTTTCGCCATTTAATACACCGTCAATAAAGAAGGGTCCGATTAATCGTTCGCTAAAGCAGGGTACAGACCAAGTTCGCGAGCTGCTCGCGAATAGTTTGCGAACACTTTTCCGAGCTTAGTGTGTACGCGAGTTCGCAAACAGTTCCAGAACAGCTCGGCTGTTCGTTCAAGTTCCGGGTCGAGTCGGTAACTTCAAAGGGTTTGTTCGCAAACACGTGGCGAGCTTAGTATGTGTGTGGACGTTCCTTGTATCATGTGGACGTTGACTGTTTTGCACACAGAGTAGAACCTCTGTGGTTTGGCATTTATTTATTTAGTTTATGCTGAACAGTATGGGTTTTTATTATTTAACAACGTAAATATTATACGTAATTAACCTTAATAAAAAGCTGTTTTAAACATGGAGTGGTCAGAGGACGATATTGTTTGGTTAATCGAAGAATTTTGTTTTAATAAAAAATAGGCCGCACAAGCAATTATTAGATTCGTTTCTTCATCGCTTTTCAGCGATGACATTATTTTTTTTTTGAATGTTTAAATTTGAATTATGGAATTATGGAACCCTCGACGAACTCGGACGAAGTTGCTCACCGAAACTGTTCACATGCAAACTTTTTTAGTGTGGACTACACGTTCGCGAGCTGCTCGGGTTCAATTTGGAAGCTGTTCACGAGCAGCTCGCGAACTCTTTGTTTACCGACCAGGGACGCTGGTGCTCCACTTGGTGTCGAAATGGAAGGACGACATTTCGAACATTTGTTATAAATTGTTTTCAGAGCCGACTATTGTTGATTTAATGTTAATGTTTTTCAAACGTTTCAAATAATACATTTTAAAAGAAAACCCCTTTTTCTTAAATTTTGAATTACAGCGCCATCTGTTGATAAATTGAAAAAAACTTTCAAATAAAAGTTAGGTATTCATTTTTTTATGTACTACCAAACTCTGTGAAAAAAATCGGGTCATTCCATTTGACTTTCCAAAGTTACCCCCCGTTTCACCCTTAAGGAGGGGTAGGGGGTGGCTAGCGGTAGCACCAAATAATGTCCCCTTTGGTCACATTAACCTTTTATCTAAGACATTTTTCCGTGAAATGCGTATTTCTCGAGATATTGAGCTGTCTCAAGTTAAAAGAAACACCCTGTATCTACAAAATATAGGGGAAGGTGGGGGAATTTTGCGTGGTGGGTAATTTTACGCATAAACAATTCTTCCAGATATGAAGTAAATAATACATTTTTTGAATGTTGCAAACTTGGAAACGTTGCTTTGGGTATACGGGGACTAAAGTGTACCGCAATTAAGCTTGTAGCTTTTAGCTAGTGACCATGGTCACTAGCTAACTGTGATACATGTACTTATGTAAGAAATCCATGTCGTTTCCGCTACGAGTTAAGTTTAAATTTCTGTCCAATCGCTTAAATGTTTATAACACAACTTTATATGATCTTTCCTCGTAATCTGGTGTATGTTTAAATTGTTCAGGTTAACTTTTGGAAAGTTTTTTAGTATCACAATATTTTTCTTGCAATGGGGGTAATTTTACGCTGAAAAACTGGGGTAATTTTGCGCTGCAAAATTTGGCCAATATGGGAGCTTTGGTATACAGGAGCCTAGATTGTTCAGCACAAACAGTTTCATTTGAGCACACGCGGAGTGTAGCGAAAAAAAACCCCCTAAAACTACATATGTGACAAATGCTGCATGTAGACCCTCTTATTTCTAAGAAGAAAAATTTTATTTTTGGTTATTTATTTTTTATTTTGTTTGTTTTGTTTGTTTCATAGAGAAAATAGTTTTGTTTTATTTTTATGTTTTATTATAATAATATTATAGAAATAAACGGTTTATTTAGATACCTACAAATCTTTCTCTATACAGCGCAAATTTTCCCACTATGATGCGCAAAATTACCCTGATAGGTGGGTAATTTTGCGCAAATGCATTATTTAAAAAAATGTAGTTTTTGCATACCAAACATTTTTTTTTATAAATTGCGCATTATATACACATAGTAAACTATCGCTGGTATTAATTTCACATTTAAACTTAACAAAGATACTAGAGATTTTGCTTAGATGCGCAGAATTCCCCCACCTTCCCCTATATATTTTGTCTTTTACTATTTGTCGGCGGACTCAATTATAAAATGTTTGATTTTAAGGTTATGTGTGTATATTTATTATTTAAAACACAAATAACGTGCACGCATGCGTGGTTAAGCTGTGGAATTGCAACTTTGCTAATAAAATTTGTGAAACAACTACTTATTTATTAAAAAATGATGTGCAGTTCCTATGCTTTCAATTTATTTTCGTTTCTTAATCAATAGTTGACAAACCTTGTAGTCCAATAATGCTCTCGAACGCCACCAGAGGGCGCGCGCGTTGCGAAAATCCGATGCTTCTTTAGCGTATAATCATCATCGTAATTATAAACACTACCTTGCCTTCTCATTGGACAGTACCTGTGGAGATCCATTTTCTCCACAGTTTAAGACTAAGCCACTTTTTTAATTGAAAACGTATAGGAAATGTACAAATTCTTTAATATGATTAAAACAAATATAATAATATGATTAAGGTCTTTATTCATTAATAATAATATCAATATTATCAATAGCGGATCCAGGATTTTTTTATAATATTTAAGTGCACTTTATAGAGCAATCCAGCAATCGCTCTGGGTCTTTTTATTTTTCCATAATTTTCCTAACCCTTCTGATTTGGGGAAGGGATTTTGGTAAATATAGTTTTTAAAGTGAATAATTTTAAGAATGTGTACATTTTTTAGTCTTACTATTATTGCTTCTTTAGCGTATATGGTGTTTTATTATTTACTTATATTATTTAAAACATCTATATTACCAATTACCAAAATTTATGAAAATATCGAAAACAAGAGCTGATTAATGAAAATCCTGAGTACCTTCTCTCTAAAATTAATTATTCAAAAATCACCAATTTAATAGAACTATTAAAATTAGTCATTTTTGACTAATTTATTTTTAGAGAGTTAGAAACGTTGTTGGCTATGGTCCATAGCCTATGGGGTATGACCTGCAGCAAACATAACATTTTATTTTGTAGACCAGAGTTATGAATACACTACTTATTTTTTACAACTAAAACGCTTATTTGAACTGGTTAACATCTTAAAACTCGACAATTAAATAAAATTATTAAACTGTATGTTTTTAAGGATTACTTCAGCTGTTGTTACATGGATTTTAAATGAATTTCTAACCAGTACTGATGCTGGAGTACGGAATCTTGCTGAAAGTCATGATTGGTACATTGTTCCAGTATTAAATGTAGATGGTTTCCAATACACAAAAACTACAGTAAGCAATTGAATTTGCAATTAAATAATCATAGGTAAACTAACAGTTTTTAAGGACCGCATGTGGCGCAAAACCCGAACCCCTTATGGAAAATGTTATGGCGTGGATCCAAATAGAAACTGGGGATACCATTGGAATGAAGGGGGTACCAGTAAGAACCCTTGCTCAGACAGCTACCTCGGCCCAGCCCCATTTTCAGAAGAATGTACACGTACAACATCTAAATACCTTTCTACAATTGCAGATAAACTTATTGGATACATTGGATTTCATTCGTATTCTCAATTGTTGTTGATTCCTTATGGACACTCTCCAGCTCATGTGGAAAACTACGATCAATTAGTAAAATAATTATTTTATAATATTATTTTATATCATTTTAGGTAAGGTGGGGTAATTGTAAGATTGGGGTAAACATCTTGCGATAAAATTCTTACTTGTAGTAGTAATTTACTAGTAAATAAAAGCAAACGAATAAAAACGCACGTTGTCGTCTTGGGTTGCATATCTAGTACCACTTGGTTACCTAAGTACTTAATAAATCATTTTTCCTTTTGGTATTAACCGTAGTCTGTTAATTCCTAAATAAAAAATAAAAAAAGTTTGCACACCTTATGATTATTAACGCATTTACACGATTTTACACCAAAATAATCCTATTTTTTCCCTCTTTTACATTAGCCCCATACCCACTTCAAATACATTAATAGTGTAATGTAATTAGCCGCTAACACATTTGCCCCATTTTTCGGGGCAAATGCAATATGTTTTATACTTTAGAATCTAATTCTTGAGTAGTTGGACTATATAATGAGCTTTGAGTTTGGTTTAGTTTTATCACTCCTTACTTTTAATTCAAGAGACAATGCTAACTAGTACAAAAACGTATCGCAATTACCCCACCTGTAGTATAATCATAAATAATTTTTTAAATCCTGCATCATGTTCACTGAAGTAGATTTCAATGATCCATTACATATAAAAAATGTTTTTAAAATGATCTAGTTTTGTAAATCGTATCGTTTAGGTTGTAGCCAAAATGTTAGTTTATTAATCCAGGAGAGTACGTACAAAGAAAAAATATAAAGGTATTTTCTATTTTTAGGAAGAAATCGGTTTGAAGGCAGCCAAAAGCTTGGCAAAACGTTATGGAACACAGTACACCGTTGGAAACATTGTAGAAACAATTTGTAGGTATATAAGGTTTTGGGGTGCAAATATAATTTGTTTGCTTTTGTTTAAGATATTGCAAGTGGAAGTAGTATGGACTGGGTGAAAGGGAACTATAAAACACCAGTAACCTATACATATGAACTTCGTGATACTGGAAGATATGGTTTTCTTCTACCAGCCAAACAAATTATACCTACTGCTGAAGAGACTTTGGATTCCTTGGTGACTATGTTTGAAGAATATGATGCTCAGACCAAACAAATATAGAAATAATTATTTTATCTTGTTAATAAAGTTTTGACTTTATATATGTGTATAATAAGTTTATAGAAAAAACAATAGACCTCTCAAAAACCGCACCAATTCAAAATATGAGCTGGTTATAGCATCTAGTACTAATAGTTAGTTTCCTTTAAAAGTAACACATAGACCCTGCTAGGTGCTATAACCAGGCCTGTTCCTGGGGTGTCTGGCGCCTACGTGCAGCATTCTTTGGTGCTCCCCTTTTATATTGAAATATAATACAATAAATATTTTAATTTATAGCCCTCAAATTTAAAAAAATATATTTTGCGACAAACTGGCAATATGTAATTAAAAATGTAAAAAAACTGCTTATTAAATTACCAAACAATCAAAATTACAAAAATATTTAGTAATAAAAATACTCCAAAGAAAACAAAAAAAAAAACATATAAACAATATAATAACTACAACTGGCAGTCACTAATAACACTGTAGGGAGGTGAAAATATCACAGCTAAACGCTCGGACACGTAAACTTAATTTTTGGTCGTAGATTACAAATCCGTTCTTGGTTTAGCTGTATCAGGTCAAAATTCAAAGATATTGAAAACACCTTGTATAAATTAAAACACCCTGTATAAATTAAAAAAAAAAAAAAATGGCTGGATCCATACATCACTTCCAAATTAAAAAAAAAAATTGCAAAATTTGAAGTTAATTGATCAAAAGGAACAGGGGTCCCTGAGAGTTTTTTAAATATAATTTAGGAAATTCAAAATGTTTTTTTTGCTAATTTTTTTTATTGAGTATAATTGAGGATATTATGTTTATTGAAATAAAAAGCATAGGAATGTTGGCACAAGAGGTGAAATATATTATTTTACAAATTATAATATACCAGTATACAGTGTGTCCCTGAACAAACTTTTTTAGACCTGATACAGCTAAACCGAGCACGGATTTGGAATCTATGACTAAAAATTATATTTACGAGTCCGAGCTTTTAGCTGTGAAATTTCAAGAGTTAAAAATTTACCTACAGTGTAATTTTAGTCCACAGCAATTTGTATCCCGGACATTTAACAACTTACCCGATAAAAAAAGATTTTATATAGTTGTATATCATTATATAAAATGTATATAGAGTTATATATAATTAATATATAATTATATAAAGTTTATATATAATGATATACAATTATACATAATTCTATATAAAATATTTTTTAAAAAATATGGAATTTATATAATTATATACAATTATATATAACTCTCTATGAAATTTTATATACTTTTATATAATTATATACAATTATATATAATAATTTCCAATTATATATAATTATACCCTATTAAAGTGTCTATATAATTATATAGTATCATATACAATTCTATATAATTATATACAATTCTACAAAATTATATATAGGTCTCTTTTAAGGTATTTTAAATTGTTTATAATTTTATATAATTATATACAATTCTATAAAATTATATATAAGTCTCTTTTAAGGTATGTAAAATTGTATATAATTCTATACAATTTTATATAAATATATATGTTTTTTTCAATTGACCTTAAGGTATATAAAATTGTTTATAATTATATACAATTCTGTATAATTATATATAATTTAAGAAAATTATCCAGATACCTGGATAATAACGTCATTAAAAAAATTATTTTCAATTGGTTAAGGATTTTGATTACAAAAAAAGTAAGGAGTATTTAATATTATGTGGGTAAGTGATAATGATTCTTATAAATCGATTTATTTTTGGTGAAGATTCGCAAGTAGAATTTTAATTAAAATTTCAGCCCTTGACTAAAACGCCATAAAGTAACAGCTTGTCAATGTGTATTTAAAATATTTTGGAAACATGAACGATTCTCGTATCGTTCAACGATACTGGGAGTGGAAGTGGGAGTAGAAAAACAAGATTACATTTTGTGTATTTGTTATATGACCACAAAATACAACTGGATAGCAGCCAACTTAATACGCATGCGCAGAACTCAGGGCTGGTAATTAATAATTGTTCAAACACCTTAAGCAACGATTGTTTGTAAGGTATTAACATATTTAGAGGTCTCTAAACAATAAATAGGGTAGTAAGCATCAGTTAATTACAAACGCAATCTGTACTCATTTAATAGTTTGTGTTAATTTGCCGCCATACGTTATGGTGGTAACACTGGAGTTTTTGAGAGAAAGCTAAGATGGCGTGTTTTGGTGTTCTTTGTCGCCTTTTGTTAGAAGAAACTCTTTTTCTGTGGCGTGAATCTAGATATCGTATTCTTCATAAAGTGTGTTTGTTATATTATAGTGTTCTCTTCAAGTTAAAACTTAAATAAAACTAATTTGCTTGACTGATTGTTATAATTTGGATATTTCAACAACTATTAGTGCTTATTAATTGTATATTTTTAAGTTTAGGGTAGTAATGCTATAATAATTTTTTGTTTCATATTAAGTTGTCTTTCAAAATATGTAAAAATATACAGGGTGTCCCATTAAAAAAACGTTATTTTTGTAATAAGTTCGGAAACCCGACGTTCAATTGTTTTTCTGTAAAAATACCACTAATTTTCTAATTTAACCGACTTTGTAGCTCCAATAATAAAGGTGAGCAGGTTTTGATGACATTATATTTTTATATTCCTGCATAAAGTCACTAACTGTCATGTTGTGAAAATCTTAAAAAACATAGTTGTGTGAATAAACTTTAAAATTTTTACAAAATTTCAGTTGGTGACTTTTTGCAGGAATATAATAATATATGATTATATATATTTATATATAATTGTATAGAATTCTATATAATTAATTATTATATGGGCGTTTCTCTGTAAACTGGGCAACTCACTGTCTCAAGCTAATATTGTTTAGAAAAATAACAGATCATAAATATTTCGTAGATAACTTCAAAAGATAATAACCTAATCTACCTATGCTCGACGTTCAAAATCCAATAAAATAAACTTTAATGTATCAAAATCGTTTTTATAGTCCTTAAAAACCAGTCCCCTGACGTGTCACCAAAGCAAAATGGTCACTTCAGACTAAATTAATTAAAGACAGTAACTATTGGAATCAACCTAATTGTTTAATTATTCAACCAATATTGTTTGCTTGTTACTGTGACTTATTTATTTTTTATAATTATTATTTTGTAATTCTAAAAAAGTCATCTAAACTTTGTCTCCGGATTTTATAAACAGTCCCCTGTATAGATTTTTCAGAAAATGCTCAATGTTTTTCAAAGTAATAGGAATATTTTTTGGTAGATCTGCCATATACTAATAAATAGACCGATATTTATTCCTCGAATAACATTTATTAAATACAACAAAAATATAACAAAAAAACTTGCCTAGACAATTTCTTACTTCAAGTTGCCCAGTTTACAGAGAAACGCCCATATAATTATATCGGGTCGGTTTTCTTATATAATTATATATACTTCTATATAATTGTATTGAATTCTATCCAATTATATCGGGCCATTTTTTTTATATAATTATATATAATTTTATACAATTATATACAATAAATATATATATATATATATAAAATTGTCCCCTGAATCCGAATAGACCGTCAAAAATTATGAAAGCTAATAAGCCTTTTTAAAAACAAAAACCTTATAACCGAAGCTGTTTAATTACAATAACTTTATAACCTTATATATTAAAACCTATAAATTCATAACCAAAGAACCCAATAACCCCATAATCCGAATCCCAATAACTCAAGCAATTGAACTCAACCTATTATCACGCAATCTGTCCAAACCCAATAATCCCGTAAACGAAGCTGTTAATTCACAATAATCTTAAGGTTATAATTATTATCTGATATATTGAACCCCATAACCCCATAATCCACCCCCAATAACCCTATAATCTGAACCATAAAATAACTTAATCCATCGCAATCTTGGGGTTCAGGTTCAGATTATAGGGTTATTGGGGGTGGGTTCTGGGGTTTAAAAGAATACCTACATATTTTGATTAAATAATTTATGTTCTTCAGTAGGTGTAGGTTGCTCAGCACTTTTGTAGATAAATGTAATAGAAAATAGAAGGCGCTACAGTAACGCGCTATATACTTTATGAAATTTGGTAGATGTTCAAAGATAGAAAAGTATAAAAAACACAACCCAATATTACCACTTTTACAGAAATTTAATTTAAAAAATTTAAAAACTTAAAAAGTTGGTAGATATTTCTTATAAAGTAGTAGATTTGAGCAAGACACTAAATTTGGTAGACCTAGCGAAAAGTTGGTAGAGTTGGCAACCCTGGTCCACTGGGCTATTATTATTTTTTCAGCTTAAAATGAAAAAAATGTAAAGGTACACGGTGTACCGTACACCTAAACACTATTCACAAACAGAACGGTTTTTTAGAGGTAAAGTGTATTTTTTAAATTTAAGTTAAAGCAGTTGCGGCTGGTGCTTGAGGGGGGCTCCCTGAGATCAAGCGAGGGAAGCGGGTAAGAAGCCTAATTTGCTTGAAAATGGACGTGATCAACAGTTTTTAAGCAAGCGGCCTAGGTTTCCTAATAGTAAAAGAAAAAGAAACTTCTCTAATTTGTCAATTTAATATTTCACTTCCATGCAATTGTACGCAAGAATAATAAGAATATTAAATCGTCCGGAAAGAACCATATCAGAATTATTACTTATTACTCCCCTGATATTAATTTTCATTTTTCTTCTTGAGCCGAACAAAATTAACCTTAAAAACACAAACAAACCACCTACCACGAGGCACAGAGACGGCAATACAGCCATTTCACGTTACTCGGGAATTTTTGTAGCGTCCGTTACAATTAAAAATTGTGAGTAAAACTACCGTAATTATGATGCTTATAAGCTTAAGCCTAATTATTACAAGCATACTAAACATGTTTGCAATAGTAACTATTGTAATAGTATTTAATTTAATTACAGTAGCTTTTACTCACATTTTTTTATTGTAACGGACGCTACAAAAATTCCCGAGTAGCGTGGAATGGCTGAATAATAAGTTTGTATAACCATCCATCAATTTTCAACATACGTATCGCGGCATATCATCGCTCCATCTTTCAAAAGATACAATTCAATTGAATTGAAGCCTGCACGTATCATTTTGGACATTCAAATGTTCAAAATGAATGATACGTGCAGGCTTCAAGGTAAACGGCGAGCCGGACCTACTAAATGCTATACATTTAAACCCTTAATTTTTAATTTTTTACACAAATAAGGAAATGGAATTAAAAATTAATGTAACTAATGGATTTATAACAAAATAAAAAATTTTTTAGAGAACTAAAAAAATAATCATTATTGTACATAGGTATACGGGATTATTTAATGATTAAATTTTAATCATACCTTAATTTTTAATTTAACAAATAAGGGAATGAATTTAAAATTAATGTAACTAATGTATTTATGACAAAAAATAAAAAATGTAAGGGATAAAACTAAAAAAAACGAATCATTATTATACGTAGTCAAGCCATGTTTTTTATTTTTGCCTATTTATTTCGGTATTAATGAAATAATAATGTTGGTTTTGTAATTTTTGTTGAAATAAAGAAATACCTATTTAATTAAAAACTAATAAAAATAAATAAATCTCCACACGCAGGATCGGGCCAATGACGTGTCGGCCGCACTTACATACAAAACGATAAACTAGACATGATTTTTGAGCGGCGTTAAGTTAAAATCGTACGTTATGACTTGATTCACAACAAAAGAGCTTACTGCGGCCAAAGAAAACCTTTGAACACTCTTTGGCTGCGGCCAGCCACACGTCACGTGGCCCGTTTAGGGTGTATTGTGAGTTGCCTACATACATTATAATCTTTGAATACAAAACATTTTTTATTCAAAGATTATAATATTTGTTGGCGTTTAGATAATACAATAAATACACATTTGGTTATTTCCAAAAATTATATTTTGTTATGTAAACATAATGAAATGAAATGCAATGTGTCAACAATGAACTGAGATGGTATGAATCATACCGTTTGATAATTACACAGTACAACACGATTTTCCTCCCTTAAAAAATTTGAACAGATTTTTCATTCTCTATTTTGTTATAGGTAAATCATTTTTTTTCTTCAAATATTTTATGTTTTTACATAATACATAAATACTTAAAGATATTAACAATTTTATTTTTTTTAAGTTATAAAATATTTCTAGTTTTAATTTTTGATTTTTTTTTAAATAAAACAACAGATTTGTATTTATCTTATATTAAATATATGTTGGAAACAAATCTTGATCTTTTAGTTTGACGATACATTGCTTTCGAATCTATAGTGGTATCTAGTGTTGTAAAAAAAACGTTTTTTTTCAGTTGAAAAAAAACACGTGAAAAAAAACATGTTTTTTTTCACTGAAAAAAAACAAAAGTTGTTTTTTTTCATCCTCACCCACGTATGGTAAAAGGGCACCTCGCTGTCGGCAATGCTGACTAAGCATATCGTATAGTCTATACGGTATTATAATAGAAGAGTTAAGACCTTCGGCTTTATAGGTTGGTGCATAGTTGGTAGAAATGCCGAAAAGAAAAGGCTCAGGGCGAAAGCCAACAACGTTAAACAATTTGTTTAAGAATATTACTAATGGTAAGTAAGAAACTATAATTAGTATTTAATAATCTTCTAGTGACAGAATGTGCCAAAAATTCTTTCCTCAGCAGTGACATTTCGAAAATCCTGTCACTTAATATAATTTGAGTATTTTTGACCATTTTTTTGAAAAAAAACATTTTTTTTGAAAAAAAACAAGGACCTCTGTTTTTTTTCTAAAAAAAAACATTTTTTTTTGAAAAAAAACAAGACTGTTTTTTTTCAGTGACAACACTAGTGGTATCACAACCTAAAAACACCACTTGAAATACAGGGTGTTTTACATTCGTGGTCCATTGGAAATTTCTGGGGAACGGAAAAATATCGATTTGAAATTTAAAAGCGTTTATAATCCATTAAGTTTATTTTTTTTAATATTTTAAACAAATTGTTACTTCCGGTTTAACCGGAAGTGACATCAACTTTGTTATTTCTATTTTTACGTTTTTAAATTCTACTTAAAATTTTGAGTAAAATTACTATACCATGTCCTAATAGTCCTATACCTAAAGTGAATAGTTTTCTAGATGTTTGCTATTAGGTTAACGGATATGGGAGGAATCTTAAAAGATTGTTTAAAAAATTACATGTCAATTCTTTAACATATTTCAACAAATTACCCGAGAAAACCCAGGGTAAATTGGGCTAACTTGAATCGTTAATAACTTTTTTATTTTAAATGTAACACCCGGTATGTTAAGGAATTGACATGAAATCTTTTAATCAATGTTTTAAGATTCCAAAAATTCCACCGCCATTTCCGCAAACCTTATATGCTATTTTTAATTGACGCGCTTTTGTAATATTTTAAGGCAAACTCGAAAACTATTATTCACTTTAGTTATAGCACATGGTACAGCACTTTTACTCAAAACTTTATGTAAAATTTAAAAATGTAAAAATTTATGGGGGTTCTATTTAAAATAAAAAAGTTGATGTCACTTCCGGTCAAACCGGAAGTTGAATTTTGTTTAAAATATTTTAGAAAAATAGGCTTAATATAATTATAAACGCTTTAAAAATTTCAAATCGATATCTTTTGCCGTTCCTCAGAAACTCTCAATGGACCACGAACGTGAAACAAGCGTATTTCGTAACCATGTATATAATTAAAATAATTTTAAAATAAATAAATAATTGTAACCATGGATAACATTTTATTGAATCGCACTTAAAAAAAATGACGTGATCTGAAAAAACGCAGAGACACGGTCATTTTTTTAAGTCTATTTTCAAAATCTATAAAAAAAAATAATGGGAGGGAAAAAAATCAAATTTTGTCGTACTTTGTTTTCAAACTTTGTGGAAAATTTGCTTTACAAAAACAGCTTCTATTCTATTTTACATATCGACTATAATCCCCAATTTTCAAATATATATGAAAAAAAAATATCAAGAGTGTTTTTGTAAAAAAAATTATCAACTACAAAAAAGGTCTCTTGTAGTTTTTGATGTATCTCGCGTATTTTGTAGACGAGAAATTTTCTTTTTAAGATTCTTGTTTTCTCGTGTTATTTCAATGGGAAGAATGTAGCTAAATATGTTTTGATGTCCTTTACCACCTCTGAAAGTTTGATGTGATGTTTTGCGGACACCTGTATTATACAGGCTGTATATTAGGTATATCATGGGGGCACGTAAGTTATTGATAAGCGTAGATAAAAAGTATCTCGCAGATGTGTGAATTGATATCGCTTACATACAATTACAGAAAATTACAATGTTACGTTCAGATGAATCTCCGTGTCGCCCCACTGTGCTTCTACTTACTCACTCCCGTATAAATAACGTATAAATAACATAATAGGCTTTGTCAGTGCACTATTTGACTTTAATTCGTTTAAATTTAAATGTCGCTCCAAAAAATGCAACGGTCGCTGATTTTTCTTTTATTATTTCAAATAGTTTATTGTTCGCGATTAATGCACTACGATAAATACAGACTTTATAGACTGACACCAAGAACATTATCGGCTGTGAGAGAATTAAGACAATTCGAGAATAAAGGTGCGGAGATCCAGTTTTGGACCAATGTAAGAGAAATTAATGTGCCAGTGGACGTTTTGATTCCGCATTACGATGCGCAGAAAATTGAAAAGTTTATCAGGAGCTACGAAGTGGATGCGGTGCTGTTAAATCACGATATCCAAGAAAATATTAACGAGGAGAATGTTGGTAGTGATCCTCTCGGATTTGGATGGACCAAATATTACAATCTTGAAGAAGTATGTATGATTTAAATTTTGCTTTAATAAAAATTGAAAATAAAAAAAATACCTACAAAAACCTAGTCATAAACATGGATTGATAAAAAAATTATAGAATATTCATTATGAGTGAGAAATCAAAATAATTTTAAAAAAGTTCTTAGTGTAGGGAAATATAATGAAAATAAATAGAAAAAATCAAACTAAATGGCTGTAAATTCATTAAATATTGGTTGGATAACTTTTTTTAAGAATCAGCCCTTTTTTCTCCCTACTTTTGGCGGTTTGCTCGAAAAAATTTAAAAAAAAAACGATATTTTTCAAAAACTGTACTTTGACGACTCTTACGGATGGAACCAATGCGAGTTACACAAAAAAGCAATTTTGAAGAGCGTCAAATTTCCCCCAAGGTCCATCAAACCGATTTGCAATATTGTCAAAGGTGGGTAAGCATTAGAAATTTGAAAAAAAAATATATTTTTTACATGCATTTTAAACGGTTAAACTTTAAATTTAAATAGTAAGTACTTAAAATTGATATTAAGAGCTCAAACTTGGTGGGATTTTTTTTTCTATATGCAGATTAATATTTTGCTTGAGCACCGAAAAAAAAACAAAAACTTTGCAGAAATGAATCACCCTAGTGTCTATTCTAAATTTGGGAAAATGGAAAGCTATACTGAAAGTGGAGAAAATATATTTTGCTTGAGCACCGAAAAAAAACAAAAACTTTGCAGAAATGAATCACCCTAGTGTCTATTCTAAATTTGAGAAAATGGAAAGCTATTCTGAAAGTGGAGAAAATATGTATTGATTTGAGGTAATATTCCTTTTTTGTTGTATAAAAAATGTCAATAAACTTTACGCAACAGAAGAAGTCGTTTTTAACATATGTTTTTGGTGAATCTTAGAAATAGTTAAAAAGTCCACAGATGTCCATAACATTCTAAAGCATATTATGTCCACAGTGATATGTTTTATCTAAAACATCAAACAAATTCCGCTCGAACTCGCTCGTTTCTTATCATTACAAGCTTCACTAACTAAATATATTATAACCATGTCCACAAATCTAAGTCGATTTTAGCCTACTTTCACCCAACAAATTGAGCTAAAATTTTTAATGCAAGCAAATTCACTCAAATTTATACCAAAAATTTCGGCCATTTCTTATTCGTCATTTTAAATTTTCGAAATCTGATATTAAAATCGTAATGAGCGCCCCCAAAAATCTTGTATCTTGTAATAAATGCAAATTTACTCACATTTATTAAAAAATGTCTGCATTTTGTATTCGCCATTTTAAAATATTAAAAACTTTCGATAAACATGTTAAACATAACTTAAGGTAGTATCTCCATTTGAAGAGTTTGATTAATAAATAACAGAAGTCCGTTTTAGCAAATTCAAGTATTATTAAAAACTAAAAACAACATAAAAAGTAACAAAGTAATAATATAAATTGTTAATTTGTTGTTATAAGTACAAAATTATGGTTTAAACTGTCATATTTTTGTGCTTCCTAAGTTGGCAGCACAAAATTTGAAATAAAAAAGTGCTCATCAAACGTAAAAGGAAAATCTGCGTTGGGAAATTAGTCCCTTATAAACTGCGCTTCATCCGCTCAAAATATTTACTTTTTGACAGGCATAATCAAAAGTAAGTCCGGACTTGAAATTTTTCTGCTGCGCCATTTCATCAAGTCAGTAAATTTTATTCGTTACATTAAACCGCTCCAGAAATATCGTTTATTTTGAAAAGTGAATAACAACCCATTATCTTCGAGACCTTTTCCCACCAAAATTGTTTTTCTCTTCTTGGCATCGACTGGCTTTGAGATCCTCCATCTACCATTTACGAATGGAACATACTTTTTAAAACACCCTGTATATTATAATACAAGCTTTTATTTTCTAATACTGCCTTTTTGTACTAATACTTGCCTCTTTTGGGTGCATTTTTAAGTGCCTAAAAGTCGGGTCTCTAGTAATTTAATATTATTCTTTTAAATAACACTATTCTAATAGTCGTTTAGGTAAAAATTTATTTATTAAATATTATCAATTATGTAATAAATTTAGGGGTAATTTCTTAACAAGGCAAATAAACAAAGGAAATTTTTATAATTTTCATTTACTCCAACTGGCGAAAAATTACAATTTGTTTTAACAAAAAATATTAAACATTGAATGGCATTTTGATCAATATTTAAAATTATGTTTTATTTTTTTATTGTGCATACATAATACATGTATGTACATTACACAGAAATGTTAATCTTATAAATTTGGTAAAAAATCGATTGTTTTTTTTTATTCTTTTAAATATTAAAACAAATATTTTTGCAGATTTACAAATGGATGAAAAATTTACCAAATGAAAACCCCGAAACTGTAAAATTGTTTAATATTGGCGAAACATACGAAAAACGAAACATTTTTGGAGTACACATATCAAAAAACCACAGCGCAGGAAACAAAGCAATTGTTATAGAAGCAAACTCGAATGCTAGAGAATGGTGGGTTTTAAGTTTGGATAATTTTACAGTTTAAAAACAGATTTAATTTCTTTAAATTTTAGTATATTTTAAACTGTTTTGATGATTAAGACAGTTGTGACTTTTTAAAGCAATTTAAGGACAATTAAAAGATTTTTTGACATTTTAATAGTTTTTTACAGTTAAAAAACAGACTTAAGACACTAGACATACCTATTCAAAAGAATATTTCAATTATTAGTTTTTGTTTCTATGTTTTTAATATTTGTTCAGCATTCTAGGATTACTTCAGCTGTTACAACCTACATTTGCAATGCATTATTAAAAAGTCCAGAAAAACATTTAAGGAGTTTTGCTGAAAGTTATGATTGGTATATTTTGCCCATTGCTAATCCAGATGGCTTTGCTTATACGAAAACAATAGTAAGTTTTAATTTATTTTTTATTAAGTGATCAATAGGGCTTTTAAATCAATTAAATGTAATATTTAAAATATATATTTGTATTTAAAAGAGTTTAAACCTTAAAGGTTTTAACTTTAAAACAATGACAAAATTAGTTATTTAAATTTGAATGCCAATAAATAATTAATTAATGCTTATTACTAAATACGTTTTCTTTGTTTTAATCAAACACATGGTTGTTGTAACCTTCATACTGTGAGTTGCGTATCGTTCTTAAAATGAAAACAAACACTGTGGGAAAACTATAATAATTTAGGTAGGTAGGCACTTCATAACAAAAAAATAAAAATTCTTTTGTAATTAAAATGTATAGCTTGAGACTTAAATGATAAGATGATTACTCATCGGGTTGATTTTAAAACAAAACTCTTGTAATTAAAATTAATACGTTGTGATTAAAAACCAATAAGATAATTTATAGTTTATGACTAAGTTAGGCACGTTAAGATATAAAATTTAAATAAAGATAAATAGGATGTCACGTACAGATAAAGACTAAGTTATCGTTCTAATTATTATAATTTTCTTGCTTTAGTTTTTTGTTAAATATCACATATTTCAATAAAAAAAATGTTGTTATGGATAAATTAATCACATTTATCAAAATAATTCCTAATTTACCCAGTTTTTTGTACCTATTTAAAAATTATAATTTTTAAACCTGCAGGTTGCACATGTGTATTTCAAAATTAGATTTATTATAAAAATTGAGCTAACTTAGTTTAGTTCAAAACGATTTATTAAAATAACAAAAACATGTTTAATTTTGTTTAATAAACAAAAGATTAATAAGCCAAATATTACTAATCAATTTATATAATAATTAAATAAATATTTACTATAAATATGATAATATCTAATTTAAAACCAGAAAATTGGTATAAAAAGTACAAAAATTTAAACAGACACGTTAATTTTTAAAAACTGACTAAAAATTGAAAACAAACATTTTTGTATCATTAAATATGTTAAAATCGTATTTATAAGTATACTATTTAGTTCAAATTCTCCCTAATATATAAAGTATAGCCTATAATATATAGTAGGGTGTTTCAAAAAAATCGACTTTTTCTTTTTCTTCAAATGGTCAGCAAATTCTTTCAGAGGATGTTAAAACAAAGACCTCGTTAAAATTTGAGCTTTTAATTTGAAGATTTAGAGGTCGCGGATCGCAATTTTCTATTTCCCATTTAAATAACATAGGAATTTTTTTTTTAACTTTGGAATTTTATACGTCTATATCGAATCAACTTATGGCAAGGAACATCTTAGATTTTTATAGTAAATTTAACGCTCTATAAAAAATGTCTCTTATAATTTTTCTATAAATTGATTTCTTCCAGAGTTATTCGAGGCCAAAGTTTGATTTCCATCGAATTTTCTCGTTTTTTCAACTTTTAGCATCATGTAGTAAAAAAATCACATATTTATATCTGAAACATAGGAAGTGTTGCAAAAAAAACAAAAAACAAAAAAATGTCACTTTTTTCCAAAGCCTACTACAAAGTTTTAATGAAAATATGAGATGTGTATAATATGCAAAGTAATTTATTTATAAATGCATTTTTCTCGAAAATGGTGCATCTGAGCAATTCAAATCAAGAGTACCTATTTTTTGTAAAAAACTATTAATTCTCATAATTTCATAAAAAAAATTAAATTATTAACCCAGAAAAAAGTTGGGGCTATTTTTGTAACTTTGCCCCTCCAAATGTTACGCCTATGATTAAATTTTAACAGTTTTGATCATAGATCTAGATTCAGCATGTCAAAATTACCAAAGTAGGTACCGAAAATTCATTTGTTCATGTTCAACCCTCTAGGAATAGTTTTAAAAAAATTATCCTCTTAGGCTCCTATTCAGGGGGCCGTAGCTCCTTTAGGGAGCATTTTTTGATACATGTTTATTAAACAAAAAAAGTGTTATTTTTATACGAATAATGCACTGTTTAAGTTTGTCCCCCTGATTTCGGGACACCCGTATAATGATAATTGTACCATAAATGTTAAAAAAACGCGAAAATTCGATGGAAATCAAACTTTGGCCTCGAATAACTCTGGAAGGAATCAATTTATAGAAAAATGATAGGAGACCTTTTTTGTAGAGCGTTAAATTTACTATGAAAATTTAAGATGATCCTTGACATAAGTTGATTCGATATAGACGTATAAAATTCCAAAGTTAAAAAAAAAAATTCCTATGTTATTTAAATGGGAAATAGAAAATTGCGATCCGCGACCTCTAAATCTTCAAATTAAAAGCTCAAATTTTAACGAGGTCTTTGTTTTGACATCCTCTGAAAGAATTTGCTGACCATTTGAAGAAAAAGAAAAAGTCGATTTTTTTGAAACACCCTAATATATAGCCTATATTATAATATAATTTATATTATATAGCCTATAATATATAGCCTATATAGGTATACCTATTCTTTTAAAATATACGTATTTTAAATATAAATATTATACAGTGTGTGCGCTAAGTTGTCTACATATAAAAAAACTATAGTTAATATTGTAAGGTACACTATGTATTTTTTGTAAACCGATTCTTTAAGTTTACTGAAATACTTTTTTTATTTCCTAAAAAATATGGAAAACATTAATTTATGCTAATTGCGATATGCTTTCCTGATTTTTTTTATAAACATTTAGGTTAGAGTGCTCCAATTGATGGAAATAATGGTGTTAGTAATTTTTTAAAATAAAATAAAAATGAATGCCAAAATTATTTTCAAGTACTAGAAGACTAAAATAAAAATCCAACCTATTAATGAATTTTTTCGCGTTGGGGCTTTATTTTATTTTCAAGATTTTACTTTTAGTAGAAATAATGCTTTTAAGATTTATTTTTGTTTATTTATACCATGGTGTAGCTCCATTTATAATACAATTAAACTATTGCCGTAAATAGACCAACTTAATATGATACCTATAGCATATTATTATGGCAAATAAATATATTTAGGATCATATTAATATAGCATAAGAGGATATTAGGTTGAAATTAAGATGATCATAAAATAATACATTTACCATTGTAAGATCATTTATTTCCCATATAGGTATGTACCAATTTAGGATCATATTAAGATGCATAAGAAGATATTAAAATGAAATTAAGATGATCCTAAAATAATAGTACCTATATATACCTATATTAACCCTTATAAGTAGGGTTGCCATATTTTATTTCAAAAAATAACGAACTTACCCCCTTCCCCCGACAAAAAACTTTTTTTAATATTTATTACCTAAATAAAGATAAAGAGTCAGCTTAAAAAACATTCATAAATATTCTAAAAATAAACTAATAAAAATAAAATAATGAAAACAAAACTTTCCTATTTATTTGGAAGACATAGAGGTACTTGCTTCTGACTTCTGATCTTTTGACCATTCATATTTTTCTGATGATAACACTTTCTTTAAGATTTGTTTATTATTTTTAACTTTATTGTAATATGACCAACTATCCATTTCTGTATTTACTTTTATTTGAATGAGTGATTTCACTGTGGAGACAGCAAGCCTACCCCTCTCTGGCGTCCAAATATTTTTCATAATGAAAAAAAAATACGTTCAACGGTAGCCGAGGTTCCAGGCAAACAGAATATAAACTCTACAATTTTTTTTATATTCATTAAACTACCATCTTCGGATGCAGATAATATGGATTTCCATTTATATTTAATTCATCCAAAGCCTTTTTGCTTTTATCCAAAATATCATTAATTTGAGATACTTCATCAAACAAATCATCGAAGTTAATAACATTACTAGAAAACTGTTTATTAATTATTTCCGCAGAATTGTGTTTTTCTTTTAATAAAATCCAATTAAAATTTTTAATTTCTTCAAAATTGTTTTCCCACAAATTTAAGTATTTCAAGCAATTCTCGTAAAAAGTATCAATAATTAACAAGAGTTTTTTGGAGTCAAGCTAACCTTAGTCGCCCTTTTTGATTAAAATTTGCTGGGCTAAAAATGGTACAAATTTTTGTTTTTTTCTCTCTTCTATTTTTTTGATTAGTTATAAATAGTTAAAAAACGGAAAAGTTAGCGCCTGATCAGACAAGTTCGCAATGAGCCAACTTACGTCGTTTTAAAACAAACGATTGCGCATGCGTCGATAGCTATAGCTATAGATATATCTAGCTAGAAGGGTAGGTACCTACTCAAGGATCGATTTAAAAATATTAAAAAACACATGGTCAATACATTTATTTTTTTATTTCCACCTTTAAAACGCATATGTTTCCAAGACACCTAGCAGGGGCGTGCTGGCTATATCAGACCGGCCCGGGAAATTCAGAAAAATCGGCCAACTACTCACGAAAAATGGGGGGTGAACAAAACCAAGTTAAAAAATTTCAAGCATTTATTAATAATTAATAACATAAAGTATAAATTAAATTCTTGAAAAACAAACAGGCAACAAACACAACCAGACAATATTTTACACAATGCTAAAACATATAGCATTGCATTTAAAATAAAAACTAATACAAATTATCATCGCTCAGGAAACTTATAAACAATATACAATCTCGAAAAAAGAAACAAAGCTGGCAGGCTGGCATGCATGGTATGTGTAAAATAATTATGATATTTATACATAACTCAACTAAAAAAGTTTTTAATTGACCACGTGCTGCGGCATGCTGCCTACATAGCCCTCCGGCACACCGGCCCACTTAGCCCTCCGGACCACCGGCCCACCGGGATTTCTCCCGGTGTCCCGGCGGCCCAGCACGCCCCTGACACCAAGTGACGTTTTAAATACATATTGACAGGTTGTGGCTTTATGGCGTTTTAGTCACGGAGTGAAATTAATTTTTTAATTACTAAATGTGAAAATTATTTAATTTTCTCAATACAAAAATACAAAAGTATTAAATAGTTTCTCAACGCCAATATTTAAAAAGTTTATATGAACATTGTACTGACATTTTAATTTCGCCGACAGTAAACTAGATATAACTTAATTTCGGGCTTGAACTCAACCGTGAAGTGCTCATAAAACATTTTCTTCACTATCACTGTGAAAACTGTTGTTAATCCATTTTCAAGGGATACATTTCAATTTATACCCAACACATACAAACTTGACATTTGACGGTAATACAGATTCCCAAATTGGTTACTCTATTGTTTTATAAATGTAACTCTATACAAATATTTAATTCATTCATTCATTCATTAATTTAAATTAAATTCGTGTCTAAAATTGCATTTATCAAAGTTGATTCATAATATACTCATTTTTACTTTCATCTTTAAAACGCCCATTATTCTACATGTTTCCATGATCTTTTAAATACACATTGACAAGCTCAGATTTTATGGCGTTTTAGTTACGGGCCGAAGTTAACAACAGGTTTTTAGTCACGGGATGAAGTTAGCTTTAAGTTAATTGACAGTTTTCAAATGTCATACCGCGGCCCTCTTATAAAATAATAGTATATGTGAAGATTAGTTTATTATCTCAATACAAAAATACAAAATTATTAAACAGTTTTTTCACGCCAATTTTTGCACGTTTTGATTTTGCGGTACACTTGTGTTTGACAATAAAGTATTACAAATTTCGGGAAGAGTACCCATAATATATCCTTTTCACTTTCACCAAAAAAAAACTTCTTCTACTTTGGATTTTAATGGATGTTAGTCCATACATAAAAATTTAAGAACTAACTGCCATTTTCATGGCCGGAAAAACAGGTTCAAATATTTAAATTAATTAGTAGTATATTGTTTTTTATACCTACTAATATTTGCTGTAGAAAAAGTATAGTATGCAACTCGTTTGTAAACTTTTCTAGACATTTATTTCAAAAGCCCGCTCGTGCCTTATTAATATTCGTGACTTAAATGGCGTTTATCAAACTTTATACTTACGGCGATGAAATAAATTATAATTTATCTCCAAACTAAGTGAGTGCAATTGTTTAGAAAAAAAAATTAATTAAATTTTAATTAAAGATACTTGCGGCCATATTTTAATAGGCAACCTGGTAGAAACGTATTCCTCTATTAATGATTATCCCTAAAAATTACAATTTTGCAGATGGGGGTAGTAATCAGTGATTACTAATCACGCAGTCGGATGTCGTACTATATGTGAGGAACATATTATATTTAATGCCATTAGGTAATTAATAGATCAGCCCACCTAATAGTATTTTTAAACAATAAACTAATCAGAACCGAAAATTTATCTTCTATTGTTTATATAATAATTTTGTATTTTTAGTATAAATATACATATTTATGTAATACCGAACACACCCTTAGGTGATATTAATTTTGTATTATTTGAACAATTTTATATTATTCATGTAAATAATTATATTGTATTTTTAGGCACGGCTATGGAGAAAAACCCGCACGCCTCATTCTCTCATGTGCTACGGTACCGATTTTAATAAAAATTGGAATCCTGAATTTTCAGCGAGTAATCCATGTTCTGAAAGTTATCAAGGGCCTTCGTCCCTTTCAGATAATTCCGTAAAAAACCTCGCACAATTTATTTCAACACTTAGAGGCAGACTTGCTGGCTATATAGCAATTAACTCTAATGCTCAGATGACGACAGAGAAATATAAAAAAACGGTAAGGACTGACTCCCTTAAAGCGATATACCTAATTGCTTTATCAGGGAATCCAAAAATATTGAATAAAAAGTGGGAGGTGTATGAACCTAATTTATGACAAAGATTTCTTTTGGTGTTCAATGTTCAGGTTTAATTGTTTTTTATATCTATGCATACATTTTGTGCATCAATAAATGTAAAAAGCTTTTTACCAGTAGAGAGTCATGATGCAATCGATTAATTAAATACTCGATTAATTAATAATCGATTAATCAAATAATCGATTAATCAATAATCGATTAATCAAAAAAATTATTTTAGATAATCAATAATCGATTATGAATTTCGATAATCGCCCAGCCCTAATTAAGGGTGGTACGTTTTTAAATTGATACCATGTATATATTTTTCTTTCTAGAAGAAAGCAAGTCAATTTTCAGCGACTGTATCGTTTGGAAACAAATACAAGGAAGGAAATATATTAATTGGAATAGGTATGTTTATAGTCAATCAAACGAAGTGCTGTATAATTAACAAGACATTCTATTTTTTAGACAATGAGAGCCAGGGAAGTTCTTCCTGGGTCAGAAATAATTTTGGCAATGTGATATCAACAATTATACAAATCCGTGATATTGGTAGATATGGTTTTCTTATACCGTCTAGTCAGATTATACCTGTCGGAGAAAAAGTACTGGATATTATTAGACATTTATTTTAATAGATTTTATTGGCTGTATATAATTGTTTACATTATAATAAATTAATAATAACTAATAATTTAAGTTTTTGGTTTCAATTTTTTTAATTGATAGATGTATACATTTGGAAAATAATGTTCATAAAAGTACCACTAGATGTGGAAAATCTTGTTACTATTACTCTATAAAACTGAACCTCAAATTTGTTAATACTTCCCAGAAAACATCTATGATTTCATGATTAGATCATTTTATGATTTCCACGTTTTGTATTTATTTGATTTCGGATCATAAGTTGCTTATCGCTTGCACGTGGATGTACGATTATGTTTTATCGTTTAAATTAAATATTTATAAAGATCCTTAAAAAAGGCTGGCTCAATTAATATAAATTTACCCCTTTCCAAATTTCGCGGTCAATTCTACATACATTGCGAATTGCATTTCGTAGCATCGGTATCGGTCTTCATGATATGAGCTCATGATGACTGATCTAAATGGGTTCATGAACACAGGACCGCGCAGAGAAAATTATGAAATAATGTCATAATGGCTTTCACGTGTATCGTGATTGTTTTCCATGGTGTTCCAGGTCTTAAATTTACCCCTTTTGACTTTTTCCTTTGGGTAATACCCAATGGGTATCCCTAAAAAGTTTTAGCCACATTGAAAGAAAATATTTAAGAAGACTGCTGCTATTCCACGCGAAACGTCCGACTTAAGAAATTGTAGGTCCAGTTTTAAAGAGTACATATTTCCAACGCGATTTTTCACATTTATATAATGGTACCTATTTTAATGAAAAGATTTTCTGGAATATTTACATAAACAAAATCAATAAGATTACAGTTATTTTATTGTATCATTGACTGAAAAGTTCATTGTTACATTACAATTTCATTGTTATTTTTTTTCTTCAATTTAAATCCCAAAATATAAATGTTCGTAAGTAGTAAGTGATTGAAACCCAGACACAAAATTATTTTATTGTAGATATTAATTTATTTGGAATCAGTGGTTATACCTACATCATAATTTTAGCGTTGTTAACTAATAGTAACATATTATAGGGCAAACGCTTATTTAAAATTCCGATATTGTCTAAATGATTTACACTTTATTGTTAAAACAGGAGTAGAAGAGGCAATCTGACAGATCCATTACAAACTTGTGTTTATATGATTTATAGAACTAACCTCGATAATAAATTATCTAGTGGGGGGCAAAGCTCTCAACTACGGTTGTGTAAAACTAGAATTTGCGCCGCATAGTTAAAAATTTATTGGTTCCTCTTCCTCGAGTTTAACGTGCTTTGCATGGAACTTTACAAATTATAAAAATGTATATTGTTTAGCGGAAATGCATTTTTCTGTCTATAGACATATATGCAATTTTTTGTAAAAAATTATAGCTTTATTTAAATTTGGAAACTTTCCAATGGAAAGTTGGGAATTTTATTTGAAAAAGTTTTGTTTTTAGACAAAATATCTGTAATAAATTTAAATTGTTATAATAAAAACATAAACAAATATATCTTTGCTCTTTTTTCCTTTTTAAGTTTAATCTACCTACTTTCTTAAAATGAATTAGTCAAAAATAACTAATTATAAGTCATATTTGACCAATTGTCATAGCGAAAAAGCAGTCAAATTTTACTTAATTAGTAGATTAAAATTTAAAAAAAGTTTTAATCCAGCCGAGGTTTGAACTCGGGTCTGTCGCTTGTCAAGCGGATGTTATAACCAATGAGCGATCAGTCACTTTTATAAAAATGGTTTTGTCTGTCTATAAATATTGTTTATAATATTTTAAAGTTGAATATATTTTTTGTGTTGCTGTTTTAAGCTAAACTTTTTACATCTTTGTTTGTTTTATGGGTCATTTAACCATGTAGCCCGTATGCACTTAACTCAAACAATAATTTGTTGTTGGCCGCAAACTATTAAAGAAATTTGTTACTTTTAACTCTCAGAAATAGTCAAAGATGGTGGCTTATCTTAAATTAGTCAAGCTTAAACTATTTAAGTAGTTAAAAATAACTATTTAAAAGTGAAAACGACTATTTTCTTAGTAAAAAATGCTGGTACTAATTCAAATAGTAAAATTTTGACTATTTCATTTTAAGAGAGTAAAGAACTGAACCTTATGTTTAAACATTCTATATTGTTGATGTCGCTTACTTTTTAAGTAAACAGGTACATTTATTTTTATTTTAACCACACAAAAAATATTGTAATTTGTTATTGTTATTTTTTGTTTTCTTTTTAACCTTAAAAAACAAGTATTTTTGTTGATTTTACGTAATGTTTCATTCCTGCCATATCATACATAATGTTTTACCTGTTGTGTAAAGAAAAATAAATGGACAAACTTATCATCTACAAAAATCAAAATTTTTTGTTACAACATATTATGTAATGTACCCAGTTTTTGGTAAACATATTATGTAATGTACCCAGTTTTTGGTAAACATATTATGTAATTTATAATATTATTGTTAAACTATGCACAGAATATAAAATCAGCTGTGTATAGTAACACTAAATGGGCAAATACCATACATTTAACAACAAAATCTTACAGATTGTTGATTTTTGTTACATGATAAATTTGCCCATTTTGCCCAAAGTTCACAAAAAAATTAAAATTATTAAATAAAGTTGCACATGTAAATTTTTTTTTACAAAGGTTCCAGCACTTGACAAGGCATGACGCAAGAGATCTTAAAACGTAAAAATTTAAAGTTTAAAACCAACAAATAATTTTTTTAAAGTGCAAACCAATTATAGCGAAACAAACAATTTTCATAAAGTGCAAACTAAAATAGTTTAACGGTCAATAAAGAGTGAAGTGTTAAGTCATAAGAAAGAGTTAAGTGACAAGTTTCAGCTTCTGGTCCTATAGGTATACCATCTGTCATTGGACGCTTTTTACTAGACAAACAAAAGAGGTCAAACAAGAGGGGAAGTGGCCATCCGCAAAAAAATTGATGTATCCCAGTAAACACATACACGTTTTTTAAACGTATTTAAAACGTGTGAATGGTCAATAAAACGTTTTACATAAAAAAAGCAACGGTTTGATGTTGGTATAAATTTACACCAATTAATTTAAACGTTAAAACAACGTTAATTTAAATATGCTTTTTAATAGTGCCTAACTTTTACGTTACAATAACGTTGTATTAAGGTGTTCAGTCAACCATATATTTAAATGTTTAATTGAAACGTTAAAACAACGTTAATTTTATATGCTTTTAATAGGGCCTAACTTTTACGTTACAATAACGTTGTATTAAGGTGTTCAGTCAACCATATATTTAAATGTTTAATTTAAACGTTAAAACAACGTTAATCTAAATATGCTTTTAATAGGGCCTAACTTTTACGTTACAATAACGTTGTATTAAGGTGTTCAGTCAACCATATATTTAAATGTTTAATTTAAACGTTAAAACAACGTTAATTTAAATGTGCTTTTTAATAGTGGCTAAATTTTTGCTTAGTTTACACATGTAGACAATATGACTTCTTATTTTAAAATCTGAAGGTATAAAATTTAAGAATTTTGTTCGTTAAATGAATTATGAATGAATGTTAAACGAATAATTTAACTTTCTCACTTTTTCAAAAGTATATTTTTATAACATTAATAAAACGGTTTTTGTCAAATACAAATAAACTTTTATCCACAACGATTTTCTCTAAAATGGGATAACTTGTTTAAAAAGAATTTATAACGTTTAATATTTAATAAATTGGTGCAACATGTATACATACATAAACAATATGCATAGGTACCTATACAATAAACAATATTAAATGAAATTTAGAAATTACAATTAATCTAAAGAAAAGCATAAGTAATTCTATAGTCAGTGGTCATACAGTAAGCTTTAGGCAAAACACTATACTCATCCACAAATGTTGCTTTAAAAAGTGCATTATTTTATTAACATTCTTTAAACTAGACAGTTACGGTAATAGATAAAAATAACGTACTTAATACGTTTAAACAAACGTAATTAATACGTTTAAACAAACGTATTTAATACGTTTAAACAAAGGTACTTAATACGTTTAAATAAACGTACTTAATACGTTTATACATGACCATATAAAACGCAATCTGATTGGCAGAATACACATCATGTGATTGGGCCTGCCAATGGCAGGCTGCCATGCCATAGCTGCTCGCTACGTCAGTTTTCAATTTGATTTTGCTATCAAAAGGTGCATTTTTTAAGTGTTTTCTGCTCGTAAGATTCGTCCGGCTTTTGGTAAGTACTTTAATGTAATTGTTTTAAAATATACACACTGTTAATACCACGAAGATTCATTGTTTTATTTCCTAATTTTCGGGGGAGTGTGATTTTGTTCTTATTATAATTTGTGCAGCGTCCTAGAATAATATGAGAGTTAATATGTTAATTTTAAAGACGTTTTCTACGTGTTTCAACGTTTATTAAGTATTGTGGTGATTTAGATTAAACACAATAGTCATAAATGCACAGATGTTAAAATTGTGGAAAGAGTCCATTATAATAATAATAACTGATAGGGTTTTTTGAAAAATTAGTCTATTTTTTATCCTTTAACAAAATTTTTTTTGTATTTTAGAAGCAGCTAAATTTTCCAGCGAACGATAAAAATGATTCACCTAAAGACGACTGGAGATACCTCCAAAACCTTTCCTTCATTTAAAAAAATCATTGTCTACAACTTTTAAACACCCTGTATTCATGTTAAACGAACGTTTAATAAATACGTTGCAAAAACAAGTATTTGTGGAGTTTTATTTATTATAGAACTAACGTTAGAAAGGATATTAATATGAATTTAAATATAAAGTATAGATAAACGTTATAAATGAGGCAAAAACAATCTTTAATTTACGTTATTAATAGACGTATATTAAACGTTTTAAATGTAACATTTCAAAACGTGTAATAATCTTTTTCTTAACGCCAAAATTAAACGTTTATTTATTAGTATTGTTAAACGTTATAATCAGCGACATTTTAAAGTTGATT